GAACGCATTCAACTGTGTGGATCGTAACAAATTATAGATAACATTTTGAAGAATGAGAATTCAAGAATGCTTAATTGTGCTCGTGAGGAACCTGTACACAGACCAAGAGGCAGTCGCTGGAACAGAATAAGGGGATACTGCGTGGATTAAAATCAGGAGAGACGTGCATCAGAGTTGTATCCTTTCACCACGTTTATTCACTGTATGCTGAGCAGGTAATCCGAGAAGCCGGACTATGTGAAGAACATGGCATCAGGATTGGAGGAAGACTCATTAACAACCTGAGATATGCAGATGACACAACCTTGCTTGCTGAAAGAGAGACCAAAAAAACCAAACCAGTTGCAGCCGAGTTGATTTTGACTTATAGTGACCCTCTAGGACAGAGCAGAACTGCCCCATAGGGTTTCCAAGGAGCACTTGGTGGATTTGAACTGCCGACCTTTTTGGTTAGCAGCTGTCGCACTTAACCACTTACTGATGAAGATCAAAGACTACAGCCTTCGGTATGGATTCACCTTAACAGAGAGAAAACAAAAATCCTCACAACTAGACGCATGGTACTATAGGTCATCTTATTAAATGTTAGAAACCTATGTGCCATGTAATTATATATATATATAACTTTTAAAGCTTATAGTTATGCCTTATTAAACTGTAACTAACCTGTAGGAGCAGCTTGTCTGGTGTCACATAATTGTGTTTCGGTGATTAGTCTCCATGAAACGCTGGAAACTTGTTCTTTCAGAAAACAATAGAATGCGTCCTGTTTCCAAGACTCCAGAGGTCTTGAAACTGTGGCTCACTAATCTTGCCATTGTCTTAGCGATGTTTCCATTTTTCTGTTCTTTATGGTGTTTGAGCACATACTGCTCTCTTGGAAGATTTATGTATTCGGACATAATCGTTAGCAAGTCAAGATATTTTTGTTCAAAGTCCCTGATGAAATTATGTATAAAGACCCTGAAAACCTTAGTTAGTCAGAGAACTGATTTACTGAGTAATGTGCTGCCCAACTTTAAGTTGTCTATTAAACCTGCATGGCAATCTGTTAATTGTGTTCTGAGTTTATTTTTGACATAATAAATGAAAACATATCTATTTACGCAACTTGTCCAAGGCAAGGTCATGGAAGCTTCACAGACATATCCAAACTCCCTGAGGGACCAAATTACTGGGCTGCTGAGGGCTGTGGGGCCATAGTCTTGGGGAACATCTAGCTCAATTGGCATAACATAGTTTATAAAGAAAATGTTCTGTGTTCTACTTTAATGAGTAGTGTCTGTAGTCTTAAAAGCTTGTGAGCGGCCATCTAAGGTACTCCACTGGTCTAACCTCGTCTAGAGCAAGGGGGAAGGAAGAAAACCGAAGACACAAGGGAAAGATTAGTCCAAAGGACTAATGGACCACTACTACAGCCTCCACCAGACTGAGTCCAGCACAAATAGATGGTGCCCGGCTACCACCACCGACTGCTCTGACAGGGATCACACACAATAGAGGGTCCCGGTCAGAGCTGGAGGAAAATGTAGAACAGAATTCTAACTCACAAAAAAAGACCGAACTGACTGGTCTGACCGAGACTGGAGAAACCCTGAAGGTATGGCCCCCCCAGACATCTTTATAGCTCAGTAATGAAGTCACTCCTGAGGTTCACCCTTCAGCCAAAGATCAGACGGGCCCATAAGACAAAATGAGACTGAAGGAGCACAGCAGCCCAGGGGTGAGGACGAGAAGGCAGGAGGGGCAGGAAAGCTGGTAATGGGGAACCCAAGGTCAAGAAGGGGAGAGTGTTGACATGGTGTGGGGTTGGCAACCAGTGTCTCAAAACAATATGTGTATTGTTTAATGAGAAACTAGTTTGCTCTGCAAGCCTTCATCTAAAGGACAATTTAAAGAAAAAAAATTTTTTTAAAGTATCTAATTACTTGTTTCTGCTCAGTGACTGAATTCCATCCAGCAAAGCGTGTCCTGTGGAGTGGTCTTCACTGGCTTTGGCACGTGGGCACACGTGGAGCCTGCTATGGATTGAGTTGTGTCCCCCAAAACATAGGTTGATGTCCTACCCCTTGTTCCTGTGAATGTGACCTTGTTTGGAAATAGGGTTTTTCTTTTGTTATCAGTTAAATTCATGAGGGATAGGGCTGGTCCTAATCCTTACCCTTTCTGAGGGGTGTTTTATGAAAGAGAGAACAGATACAGAGAAGTGTGACACGGGGAACACAGAGGCCATGTGATGAGGGAGGCTGTTGTTAGCTGCCATCTGGTCATACCCAGACTCATGGCATCCCCGTGCACAATGAGATCGGACTGCTGTGATCCAGAGGGCTTTCGCTGGCTGAATTTCAGAAGTAGATCTCAGGCCATTCCTAGGCCATCTTAGTCTGGAAGCTCCTCTGAAACCTGTTCAGCATTTTAGCAACACATAAGCCTCCACTGACAGACAGGTGGTAGCTGCTCATGAGGTGCCTTGGCCGGGATCTCCTAGTCTCTCATTTTTCAATTCTTTTGTGTGTACCCACTCCTCACGTATCAACTTGGTTAGGTTCCAGAGACCAGGTTGTTATGCAAAAATTGGCGTCATATGAAAATGGAGGATGACCACATCAGATCATAAAATGGAGGATGACTACATCATTACCTACCTGCCAGATTACATCATTACATAACTGCCAAGCCACTGAGAATCATGGCCTTGCCACGTTGACACATAACCATCACTGCCAGCGTTACTGTCCCCTCGTACCTCGGCATTCGTTACTGCCAGATGTACATCATGAATGCACAAAATAGCTAAATAGTAGATTTTGATGATTGTTGTAAATGCAAAACGTTGGATAACAAGATAGTTGATAAGTAGGGAGTAGGTGTACATACCTAGGGGTCGAATTGCTAGGTCATATGGTAATTCTAAGAAGCCTTGGTGGCTCAATGGTCCGAGCAGCAACGTGGGATGAAGACCTGGTGATCTGCTTCCGTAAAGATTATAGCCAAGAAAACCCTCTGGGACAGTTCTCCTCTGTCACATGGCATTGCTATGAGTTGGAACCAACTCGAAAGCACCCAACAACAACAACACGGCAATTCTATATTTGACTTGTTGAGAAACCACCCAGCTGTTTTCCACAGCAGCTTCACCATTTTATATTCCCACCAGCAGTGTGTGCAGGTTCCGGTTTATTCCCATCCTCACTAACACCTTTTTCTTTTTTAATAGCCATCCTAGTGGATATGGAGTGGTGTCTCATTGTGGTTTTAATTTGCATTTCCTTAGTAACTGATGATGTTGAGCATCTTTTTATGTGCTTGTTGGCCCTTTATATATCTTTACAGAAATGTCCATTCAAGCCCTTTGCCCATTTTTTAATTGGGGCGGGCACTTTCTTACTACAGTGTGAACATGCCGAGTCCCCTCCCGCCTCCATACCTTTGCCTGTGGTATTTATTCCCCTTAGAATATTCTTCCTCTTTTCCACCTACCCAAATCCTAGCCAATTTTCCAAGGACCTGTTGACATCACTTGACCTCTCCCATCACAACACTCAATTATATTGTTTCGTTCTTTTTATTTCAAGTGAGTTTATATCATGTTTCCCTAGAAGATTATTTTTCCAAATACTTGGGAAAATGACTTCTTCCTTTAGCACGTAGCAAAGTGTAGCGCACCTTGTTGTCGGCTGCTGTCCAGTTGGCATCGACTCATGGCAACTTTACCTGTAATGTATAACAGAATGAAATATGGCCTGCTGTTGTGGATTGAATTGTGTCCCCAAAAAAATCTGTCAACTTGGCTAGGCCGTGATTCCGAGTATAGTGTGATTGTCCACCATTTTGTCATCTGATAGGATTTTCCTATGTATTGTGGATCCTACCTCTATGATGTTAATAAGGCAGGTTTAGAGGCAGTTATGTCAGTGAGGCAGAATTCAGTCTACAAAATTAGGTTGTGTCTTAAGCCAATCTCTTTTGCGATATAAAGGAGAGAAGCGAGCCAGAGACATAGAGCCGGCTCTAGTGGAAGGCTTTCTCTCTCTGTCGGCTCTGGAGGAAGGTTCTTGCCTCTTCTGAGCTTCCGCTCTTGGGCGATCTTCACGTGGCTTGGCATCTCTCTTCCCCCATCTCTACCTCTTGCTTGTTTAATCTCTTTTATATCTCAAAAGAGACTGACTCAAGATACTCCCTACACTAATCCTGCCTCATTAACATAACAAAGACAACCCATTCCCAAATGGAATTATAACCACAGGTATAGGATTTTACAACATATTTTGGGGGGACATAATTCAGTCCATAACACTGGATGTCTTAGTTATCTAGTGCTGCTGTAACAAAAATACCACAAGTGGATGACTTTAACAAAGAGAAATTTATTCTCTCACAGTTGAATAGCCTAGAAGTCTGAATTCAGGGTGCTAGCTCCAGAGGAAGCCTTTCTCTCTCTGTCAGCTCTGTGGGAAGGTCCTTGTCATTAATCTTCCCCTGGTCTAGGAGCTTCTCTGTGCAGGAACCCTGGGTCCAAAAGACGTTCTCTGCTCCTGGTGCTGCTTTCGTTGGCCCTCTGCTTTATTAACCATGATGTCCTTTTTTAGCGATTGGCCTTTTCCAATGATGTGTCCAAAGTAAGTGAGCCGAAGTCTCGCCATCCTTGCTTCTAAGGATCATTGTGGCTGTGTTTCTTTATAAGCGTGTAATAAAACGGTGGTCTCCATCAGAATGCCAGCTCCCTTATAGATGCCAGCAGGTAGTACTAGAGCCCCACCTGAAGGAACAGCTGGGTTCCATGGTAACCACGTGCCCCTGGGATGATTTAGAACCCAGCACTGAATATTGTTAGAGCTTGGGGAAGCATCTTTTGTGGGAGGCACTTTGAACAGACTTTCAGCCAAAGAGGGCTTTCATCAAATGTTTCCATCTGGAGGTGAAATGAAGCTGCTGCCCACTCGGGGAGGAGCCTGTGGCCGAGGTTGTGCTGACCCTGTGTGTCTGTTTCCCTGGGACAGCCACCAGGCAGGCCCGGGCCAGCCGGAGGAGCCTGCTGCACGTCCCCTATGGCCAGGGAGACGGGGAGAAGCTGGACCTCTACTTCCCTGATGGAGTTTCCGAAGGTGAGTGCGTGGGCAGCGAGTCCCACAGCAGAACTCAGCCACGCCCTTCCTGGGCCATGTTCCAGGCCCTCTGTTTTGTTTTGCAGCCCTGCCCTTCTTCGTGTTCCTTCATGGAGGATACTGGCAGAGTGGGAGGTGAGTGGGTGTATTTGCATGAGTGGAGGAAAAAGGAGACCCCTGTTTCCCTGGTGTACGGGTTTCCCTTGGCTGCCAGGACAAATGACCACAAACTGGGTGGCTTCAAACAACCAGAATTTGTTCTGTCGCACTTCGGAGCCAGGTGGCTGAGATCAAGGTCCCACAGGCCCGCTTACCCCCAGAGCTTCCCTCCTTGCCTCTTCCATCGTCTGGTGGCTCCCGGCATTCTCTGGCACCATGCAGCATCACTCCAGCGTCCGCCTCTGTCTTCACAGGGCCTTTTTCCTTATGCTTCTGTGTCTCAAATCCCTCTCCTTTCTCCTAAGGCGCCTGTCATTGGATCCAGGGCCCATCCTAATCCAGGACAATCTTGTCTCGAGATCTTTAACTACATCTGCAAACCTCCCCCACAAACCAAAAACCAAACCCGTTGCCATTGAGTCGATTCCAACTCATAGCGACCCTACAGGACAGAGTAGAACTGCCTCATAGGGTTTCCAAGGAGCTGGTGGATCCTTTGGGTTAGCAGCGGAGCTCTTAACCACTGCGCCATCCGGGCTCCACATCTGCAAAGACCCTGTTTTCTTCAAATAAGCTCATGATTTTTTCATAATCCTGGGAGTTAGGACAAGGATGTAACTTCTGGGTTACACAGTTCAACCCATTACACCAAGCCAGAGCAACAAGCCGTCCCAGTTTGCCCAGGACTGAGGGGTTTTCCAGGACGTGGGACTTCTGGTGTGGAAAAAAAGGAAAGTCCCAGGCAGACAGGGGCAGCTGGTCACCCTAAGGTAGGCAGAGGGGTACTTGGGATCTTTTAGGACACTGTCACTCCCCAGGACCTTACTAAGAAGTGGCCTATGATAGCATCTTCCCCCTTCAAACACAGTCTTCTTCATAGTGACATTTATTGCACGCGTGCTCTCTGTGGCAGTGTCCACATGTCTGATTGCCTTCGTTTCTCCTAAATAGCACCGTAAGAGAGGAGACATAATTATCCCTGTTTTACAGACAAGGAAACAGGCTTAGACATTAAATAACGTCCCCAAGGTCCTATTGCTAGCATGTGGTGTGGCAAGGACTTGAACCAGGCAACTGGACCCCAGATCCCGCCCTTTCCTGATACCCACGAAGTCAGAGTGGGCTGATGCTCTGGGTGGACAGGACATCTGGCCCGTGATGTGTCCAGGACCTGGTGGCAGCAGCTTAGTGGCCAAGCTGCCTCCAGCTGTCACATCCAGGCCTTTTTCCGTAGTAAAGACACGTCAGCCTTCATGGTGGACCCTCTGACTTCCCAGGGAGTGGCCGTGGTGATTGTGGCTTATGATATAGCACCCAAAGGTAAGGGTGGTCACTCCAGGTTTGGGGACTTTGGAGGGAAGAGGCCAACACATGCTCTCTGTGGACCCAGCACATGCTCTCTGTAGGCACCCTGTACCTGATGGTAGACCAGGTGACCCGGAGCATCGCCTTTCTCCAGAAGCGATATCCCAGCAACAAGTGAGTATTCTTGTGGGGTGGGTGCTGGGTAGGAGGACAGTGGGGTCAGTGTCTTGGACAAGGCCCAGCTGCCCCTTCTGGCCTGTGGACCAGAAGACAAATCGGATGCCCTTGCCCCTGGCCTGCTGCCCTGGGGGGACCAAATGCAAACCTGGCTTGAAGGTACAGAAGCTTCTTCCCCCTGTTCTGGCCCATCCTAGGGGAATTTACTTGTGTGGACACTCGGCTGGGGCCCACCTGGCCGCCATGATGCTCCTGGCCAACTGGACTGAGCATGGAGTCACACCCAACCTCAAAGGTTTCTGTGGGGCTGCAGCCTTCCCCTCCCCTGGTGCACCTGAGGGTCTGAACCAGCCGCAGGGAATCTCTGACAGCTGTGAGGGACCTGACCTGGGGGTCTGAACCAGCCGCTGGGAATCTGTGACAGCTGTGAGGGACCTGACCTGAGGGTCTGAACCAGCTGCTGGGAATCTGTGACAGCTGTGAGGGACCTGACCTGGGGGTCTGAACCAGCCGCTGGGAATCTGTGACAGCTGTGAGGGACCTGACCTG